CCATCAACCCAAAGGTACAAACTGCTCAACCCTTTACCTCTACAGAAGTCTTACAAATTCATCAAGCACGTGGCTATGCCTACACAGTGGTCTGTACAGATCCAGACTACCCCTCCCGTACCTGGTATTACTGCGGGGAGGATGCAGTAGATCAATTTTTACAAGATATGATGGAATTAGAAGAGGACCTCCTCCCCTATATGGATTTAACACAGGAGGAAAAAGATCGGCACCGTCGAGAAACAGTTTGTTACATCTGCCACAAGTCTCACCCAACGAGATTGGAAAGTGAGAAATCATGACCATGCCACACGAGAGTATCAAGGGCCAGCTCATAACACCTGTGATTTACAGAAACGACGTAGGACAGTCATTTCTGTCATCTTCCATAATTTGAGAGGCTATGACAGCCATCTCCTGATGCAGCAACTACACACAGTGGAAGCTCGAAAATAGGAATGCATCCCCCAACAACATGGAAAGTACATCTCCTTCACTATAAACCATTTACGGTTTGTTGATTTTTTCCAGTTCATGGCTTCCAGCTTAAAGTCATTGGTGAAGAATTTATCTGAATTCCCCCACCTGAGAGAGTAGATATCAGACATCTGGAGTCTTCAAGCCTCCTTAGAAGAGACACTACCCCTCCTCACCAAGAAAGGGGTATAAGGGGTATACCCCTATTCCTATATGGACAGCTACGAGAAATTTTTGAAGACACATGCCACCTCAAGAAGCGTTTTCAACGACCTCACTCAGGAACCTACTACAGAAGAGGAGTACCAGCATGCTCAGCGAAAGTGGGAGACGATGGGGGACTACCATGATGTCTATCTGCTTACTGATACTCTCCTCCTTGCGGATGTGTTTGAAAATTTTTGCGAAATTTGCTTAGCCACACATGATCTCGATCCTGCTCATTATTATAGTGCACCTGGTTTGGCATGGGATGCCGCCTTGAAATCTACCTAGATCAAACTGGATGCAGAAACAGGCTACATCCTAGAAGTGGATTTAGAGTACCCTCAACAGCCTCATGACACTCACAATGACTACCCTCTAGCACTGGAAACCATGAAGATTACTCAAGACATGTTGAGTCCTTATTCCCAACTGTTAGCGGTTGGCTTACAGCACTGTCCTGGTGGAGTAGAAAAATTTGTCCCCAATCTCCATAACAAGACAAACTACATACTTCATTATCGCAATTTGAAGTTGTACTTGGAATTGGGGATCAAGTTGACTAAGATCCAACAAGTGCTCCAGTTTAAGCAAGCAGCCTGGCTGAAGCCCCATATTGATTTGAACACCCAAAAGCGGCCCAAGCGAGAAATGCTTTGAGAGGGATTTCTTCAAATTGATCAATAACAGCGTGTTCGGCAAGACGATAGAAAACATTTGAAAGCATGTCAATGTGGAGTTAGTAGCCAGTTCCGCCAAAATGAAAAAGTTGGTCGCAAACCCACTTTTAAGAGTGCAAAACGGTTTAACCCCCATCTCGAAGCTGTTGACATGATACAGGAGAAATTGCTACTCAACACGCCGGTGTATACCGGTTTTGCTGTGCTAGACCTCTCCAAAGTCCTGATGTACCAATTCCATTACCAGTACATCAAACACAAGTACGCTGAGCGAGCCCAGCTGTTGTTTACTGACACTGACAGCCTCTGTTACCAAGTCAACACAGAAGACTTTTACCACGATATGCAGCCTGATTTGGACCTGTTCGATACTGCCGACTACCCCTCATACCACACTCTCCACAGTACAGTGAACAAGAAAGTGATTGACAAGTTTAAAGACGAAACCGCTGGTCATCCCATTCGAGAGTTTGTGGGACTACATCCGAAGATGTACCGTTCTGTGTTGAAGAAAAATGGGAGGGAAGTGGAAATGGAGACTGCCAAAGGAATAGGGAAGAGTGTGCTAGAGCGTGAAATTCGTCATGTAGACAAAAGAGGCTGTTTATTTAGTAAAGTCTCACAGATGCACTCTATGATACAAATCCGCAGTAAGAACCATCAACTCCAAACGGTGAAACTAACCAAGATCAGTTCATGACCTTATGATGATAAAAGATTCTTTTTAGAGGATGGGTTCACCACCCTAGCTCATGGACACTACAAGACAAGAGTGTAAATTGGCTGTTCCAATTTTTATTGAGTTGTAGACCTTTTCAACGTTTGAAGAGGCATGTGGTTGCTAGGGCGAGTGGTTACTAGAGCCCTCCTATGTCCCAGGTGTGGCATGGAAGAATGGGTATGATAGCATATTCTTCATACTAGTAGCCATGTTTAATTGCCTTACTGTTAACGCTGTGCAGGAGAGGATAACAAAGGGATTCGATCAATGTCTGCAAAGGTTGTGCTGTATTGCTGTGAAAGACTGCACCACTTACAGAGGCTCTAATTCTTTGTGCTCAATTGTAAAAAAATCCTTGGCCCTTAGCTAGATCCCTAGTTTCAAAACTTAGCAGACCCTAATGGGACCATTCAGGGGTAAAGCACACAATTACATCACACACTTTGCTCGATCTCTTTGTCACCACAACAAAGGATCCTATCAGCTCTTCTAGGGTATTCCCACTAGGGATATCAGACCACGATTTAATTTACGCAACCCTTTGGCTTAAAACCAAAAGACCACCATAAAAATTCATCAAGACAAGGAACTACAATAGACTGGACACAGAGAAATTTAAACTGCTCATCAAAAAAAGTTTTCGGACTACTTTAAATTAAAATTACTCTTGGGCTAGTACATGTTAGTGGCAGCTTGCCCGAATGGCACCCTGCACATCAAGAACAAGATATTCCAAAAACTCTTAGAGGTAACACATGTGCAAATATCACATCACATGAAGAGTTTAAGCAAGACATAGGCTATAAGGAAAACAGCTGACCAAGAATTTGTTTGCTGCATAGTGAAATAACACTACAGACAAATTGATTTGTCTAGAGAGTATACAAAACCAGGTTAAGAGAGAGATCTCGCAATGATGGGAAACTGGCAAGTTGTAGTTCAAACTAGAAACCACAGGGCATGTTAGATGACTAGACAAACCAATATAATGACAAGCACCGATGTAATCAAGTTAGAATCAGGAATCCAAGCTAACTTGGATGATGGGGGACGATGTCAAGACTTGTAAATGTTAAGAATACACAAAGAAACAAAAAAATGTCTTCTGTCAGCTCCGACAGGTACATTATTAGGGTAAGAGTTGTTTTGTTTTATAATGGTTTGTTTGAGGTAACAGAATTGTTTGTTAAAAGAACACAACAAAAAACTCTTTTACTTTAACTCTACCCCTTATTTAGTAAATAAATAAAAATAAACTTAATTAACATTAAGTTTTATAGTCAAGATTGACCTGCTATAGCATTATTCATTGCAATATGTTACTTATTAAAATAATCCTGTCATACCCAGAGGTTTCAATAGAAGGCGGCTACCGGCGATGGACCGCCGGCTATTTTACTTTATCCTGCTTCCTACTTCAGACAATCAGTTGAATGTTTTGGACTGACTATGTGTCGGACTTTTCCAAGAAACTTTCAACCGCTCTCTTTCTTGAAAGTAAAATAGCCTTTCTGGCTTCACTAACCAGGAATTTTAATTCCTAAATCTCCAAATTATAGCAATTTTGTTTAAAAAATTTAATGAGTTCGTATACAAATTCGAGCAAATTACAGAGGTTTACCTTAGCAAATTAATGAAAGTCGCATCTACTATTGCATCAAGCTTCATCGCACAAGTTGCAACTGGGAATTTCCTGTCACAGTTGTTATGTAACATTTGCGTGACACTCCATGTGAACTCAAAGCACATGTTTCACCTGTTTTGAAATGGCAGCAAAAAGACAATGCGTTCTCGACAGTTTTTTCACCGTCATGCCAAAGAAAGCAAAAGGTGAGTTATTAGTAAAGATATAATTTGGATTTTCAACATAACAGATTTGCACCGACTGATGTAAATGAGATAGCAATTTGCATTTCAATAGAGTCAGCGACCTTTGAACTCGCAGAATGATGTCATGAGACCAGCAAAGTCTGCTTTTAAAATTTTCTTTGTCCACAGAATTGTTTGGTTGTGGAAGCAACTTCATTACTAAGCACTGTAATAAGATGGTTGATAAAAGGCAAAATGGCGAAAACAACACTAACCGCGACTCATTGTCTCATGTTCCTGCCACTCTTTTTCCTCAACTCTTTTACAAATCATTCAGGTTAAAATGTTAGGGAAAAATCTCACGGTTCTTAATCGTGAAATATTTTTCTTGCTAGTATTTTATAGTATAAAGTGTTTATGAGTTTTGGGTATTTCTGAACGTTCTTAATTAAGTAGCGAATCTTAGCCATTATTTTCTGCTCATTTGTGAAACATTGGCGGGGCTCGTAATCCGCAAGTCTCATCGCTCCCCTTAAATAAAAGTTCGTGAAATAAGAAGCATAAAAAATTCAACATGAAAAGAGATCAGAAGGTTGGCAAATTCTCTCGCATAATTTTACTTTTACTATGCCTACGACTTTTAGTTTTCATGATTACATTTGGGTTCCGCTGGAACTGACTTTTCTTTTTTCCCAACTTGTACAACGGAAAGTCACAATTGTATCAGTTCTGTTACATTCTCATAAATCCTTACAGTGCAAAAATCAAGTTCTACAATGGACCCACCAGCTAATTCGGATGAGAGACTGAGATTGAGGCTGAAAGTGTCCAAGGTACAGTAATTGCTTGTTCCAGTACTACACAAGCTCCCCAGGTTCAACAAAGTAAAGATCCAAGCAAACCAAAAAACAAGAATCCAAGCAAGGACAAGTCCTCTGAACTATGGACTGCAGAACAAGAGTTAAAATTTTTGACATCATTTGATTTGGCTGACACATGCTATACACAGTTACCACAAATGCAAAAATCGAACACCTAACACCCTTAGTTCCCAGGAGGTCAGTCGTCTGAATAAGGAGTCTGTTGATGGTTTTCAACATCCCTGGATAATGGACGATAACCTTACCTACTCCAGTAGTACTGGTGTGAACTGGCTCATACACGATGAGGGGCAGGGAATGTTCTGTTTATTGTGCAGAAAACATGGCACATCAAATTACCAAAACAAAAGCAAGAAGTGTAGCCTAGAGCCAGCAGTTAGGTTCAAACGAAAAGCAGTTGAAGATCATGCAAATTCTCAACGACATGCAGCTGCTGTTATAGCAGAGCTTGTCAACAGAGTTTCGACATTTGAAGAAGTGAGAAAAATTCAAGATCCTGAAGATGAAGTTTACTATAAAACCTTGCTGGCTATGTACCGGATTGCCAAGGAGGAGATCCCAAACAAGAAGTTCACGAGTCTTCTGGCAGTTCTTCAGCAACTAGGGCTTGAAGATATTAAGTATTTCAAACATCGTTCAGCTGGTTCAATCAGAGAAATGTTTCTTCTCATTGGCAGTGTTTTGAACTCACAGTTATTAGATGATATATCAAGAGCCAGGTGCTTTGGACTCCTGACAGATGAAGTTTGTGATGTTTCTAACAAAGAGCAGCTTGTAACATTTGTGAAGTTTGTCCATCCCGAAACTGGCAAAGTAAAGACTGCATTCCTTGCCTCAAGAAGTCTGTTGGAGAATTCAAGCTCAGTAGATGCTAAAACAATATCAGATGCTCTCGTTGCACAAGTAGAAGATGCAGGGATCGATAAAAGGAAGCTTGCAAGTTTTTCCTCTGATAGAGCTTCAGTAATGACAGGAAAAAGAAATGGTGTGGCTTCCAGATTGCGAGCTGGTAGCAAGACCTTAATAAATGTGCACTGCATCTGCCATCGTTTGGCGCTGGCATATGGCGATGCCAATGACACGATTTCCTACATCAAGTAAATACAGAAAGTTCTCCTCCAGGTGTGGTCTTTCTTTGACAACTCTGCTAAGAAAAGTACTGCTTATGCAAAAGCTGTCTTGGCTTTCAAACAGCTTAGTGTTAGCAACAGAGGAGAGAAAAAGCTAAGAAAGAAGGCATGCAGAAGTAAGTGGTTATCGACGGAAAAAGCAATAGAACGAGTTTACGAGGATTATGAATCATTGCTCTAAACACTTCCCGAGTTTTCAAAGAAGATGGAGATGCAATTACTACAGCAAGCAAGCAACTTAAAGTTTCTTGGCACAGTATACTTGCTGCAAGAAGTACTCCCTATACTTGGCCACCTGAGCAAAACTTTCCCATAAGGGGAAGTTTGTTTAGCATCCATTGCTCCAGTGATAGAGTACACTGCTGATCATCTTGATGATGTTGGTCAACAGCGTGAGCACTTGGCAAGATTGAAGGAAGATTTGTCCAAGAATGGGAGACTTCAGATATGCAAACTATCAATTATGTCTCCTCACATGGAGGAACAGCTTAAGAATTTGACCATTAAATATGTAGATGCATTAAAAGAAAACATCGAAAATAGATTTGAGGGAAACCATAAAAGTCTTAACTGCATTTAGGGTGTTTGACCCAACCGCTGTTCCCAAGAAAAACGGAGTTGGATGTAAACAGTATGGCATAGCAGATGTTGACTTGCTGGGAGACTTCTTCTATCAAGACAGGGAGGACAAGGTTGCACTGAAAGAAGAGCTGTTATCTGAGTGAGCCAAGTTCAAGTACAACCTCCTAGGCATGCAAAGCCAGCTACCTGAGATGTCAAATTTCACAAAATTTCATCTTTCACATGAAATTTTCAGAGATTTACCCGTGTTTTCACAATTCTTGTGAAATATGACATTCATTTTCTCGGACTGCCATGAGAATTAAAATTACTCAATTTCCTGGTGGATTCCGTCTTAAACTGACTGAACTAAAAACTCCTTTCTTCATCCTTGACAGAAATGGACCTTGTAGAATTTACAGACTTGTTTGCACTCATTCCACTACTGATTGTATAAAAGACTGTGCTTTGCATGGAAGGTATTGGAAAAAAAAATAAATCTGAGAGCTGAGCGTATGTTTACAAGTTTACAAGGAAGCAGAGTTTAAGCTGAAAAAGTCACTGATCAACTTTGAAGATGACATCCCTCTTTCAAGTGATCAGTTCCCATAGGCGGGCACTGTTTTCTGTATTTAATTTTGCTGTATGTGTGACCAATTCATCCCAGTCCATTTAAAAAAAATGAGTCTCTACTTCGGAGCGAAGTTTTCCCGCTCTGAGATGCCTCCAAACATACCTTAGAAACACGATGAAGCAAATTCAGTTAAACAGCTGCATGCTTGTTCACTGTCACAAGACATTGGCTGACACAATCACAAGCGAAAAAAAGAACAAAGGAAGGGGCATTTTGGGAAGTTCAAGTTAACGTTGACCCGTTTGTTTAAAACAAGAAACAACGTACAATGTACGAAGACAGTTGGATTGGGACATTTTTTTATCTGCACTCCCTTCCCCCACCCCCATGTGGAAGGCTATCCTTTCTAGTTTTTGTTGTCGGCACCATTGAAGTTGCATCTGAGTGGTCCAAAATGAGGGTCTGGATGGGGGGGGGGGGGGGAAAAGGTCGTTTGCTGTTTAAATTTTTGGCAATTTGTAGTTAAACCCCCCCCAGCCCCCCAAAAATTTAAAAAAAAGGGCCGGCTTTTTTTGCTTTTTTTGGTGTGGGCCGTTTTTTTATTTAATAAAGAGGAAGGAATACTAAAAAACCAGTTTGAATTGCCCGTTTGGTTAAACAAAAAAAAAACTGACAAAGGACCAAACACGTTGGGTTGGGACTTTTTTTTTTCCCCCCCCCCCCCCCCCCCCCCCCTGTGGAAGGCTTTCCTTTTTTTTTTTTTTTGTCGGCACCATTGAAGTTGGCTTCGGGGGGTCCAAAAAGGGGGGTTGGGGGGGGGGGGGGGGGGGGTAAATGTCAGTTGCCTGTTAACATTTTGGCCATTTGTAAGTTAACCCCATCCAGACCCTCCAAAATGTAAAAGACAGAGGCTGCCTTTTATTGCTTATTTGTAGTGGGACAGTTTTACTGTCATATAAGAAGTAGAGAATACTAAAAACCAGTCTGAACTGCTCTGGGGAATCACACATGCGTAGCTTCTGTACCAGAATAGATTAGTCTGTCTCGTAGTGATTAAAGTGTTGTGTTCTCAGTTCTACTCGTATCAATTCCTTCTACAAAAGTGGTGGAGAATCCATTTCAAGTACAAACGCCTGCTACTATTGAAGAACTTCAAGGCACCGCTGCCGGCCTCAGCGAAGTTGTCATAGGTTTAGTTAACACCGTCCAACAACAATGTGCCCTGCTGGAAGCTCACACTACAGCTTCAACATCCCACGCGAACTCAGCCGATACTACTTCTGGTTCTCACAATCAACACCTGTCCACCTTACAATTGCCGACCTTACAACTACCAACCTTTCGCCAACATAAAACCGCGCAAGATGATACTGCCGAATTTTAGGAGCGTTTCCAAGAGCAAACATCTCACCTTCCCGCCAAAATTCGCTTGTCGCTGCTGGAACAACAGGTTGTCAGTGAGTGGCCGCGTTCAGTGTTATTTTTCTGCCGTGGCTCGGAAGGGTTTTCTGATAAAACCACCGAGGAGCAATTGGCAAGAGCGATTGGCAGCTGAATTAAGTGCTATGAAACAAGATCCCTCTGAGACAGTGGACGAATTTGCATTCAAATACAAGAACACTATTCATCAACTTGATAAACTGGGCGAAAGCCTGACAAACTCTTGTCCCACGTATGTTACTTCTCAGTTTATAGGGACCTTTAGCATCAGGTTTTTCGTGGGAAACGGCAAACCGCAAACCGCAAAATGTCACGTGACCACGTCCTTGCGGTCCCGTTTGCAGTTTGCAGTTCACGTTTGAACCGAAGGAAGGGCTTCCAGCGGTAAGTGATTTACGGCAAGGTTTTTTGCCACAAAAAATCGTACAGCCTCGCGTTTAAAGGTATGAACTAGCTTTTTGTATCCGTTTGCGATGTGTTTGTTGGATTTTTGATCTCGAATCAATGAATTATTGCTGATTTTTGGGCGATTAAAGTGATGCATTTCGACTTGATGAAAACAACATGGCGGCCATAAACAATGAACGCGTAGTTCAAGTCAATTTTATATTCCTTTCTGCCGTACTAACAATGGAAAGTATTCTGTTCCAATCCAGAGTTAAATTTTTTTTTCTATCTTGTTACTAAATTCATAACTTAACTCAGTCTCTGTCTGGTTCCTTTTTTTAACGTACCCGCGTATCACTCCGCGAATATCATTTTATTTTGCTTATTTCTTTTAGACTGGGGAGCTCAGGCTTCATAAAGCCTTCTGGTTTCTTCTGGGCTCCCTTGCAACCTTACAATTCCTATATGTATTCTTGTATTGTATTGTATTTTAGCTAAATAAAAGTGAACTGAACTGAACTGAACAAATCGAACTGAACGCCTTGCTAAAGTTTGAAATCTCGGCAACGCGAAACTGCAAACGCGTAACTGCGGTTTGCGGTTTGAGGTTTGCGGTTTACCTGATGCTAAAGGTCTCTTATTTCCAAGTTACAACCGCATCTTACCCAACACCTCGTTTTGCAAGCTCATCAGGTGACACAACTTGATAAAGCTGTCGAAGCCGCTCATCGCATCGAACATTCATTAATTGCTGCTGCAAGTAATAGGTCTTCTTTGCCCTTAACAAGTGATTCCCCGTCGCCACCTACAGTTTTTAATGGAGTTCCTCAGCCAACCACCTTGTTTTCATCTTCACGTCAATTTGTTAGCAAAAATAAGCAAAGTTCGTGTTGGATTTGCGGAAATAATCAACACAAAGCTCATGAATGCCCACAACGGTCAGCAGCACCAAAAAAGAAATCGCCTGAGGACTGCAGAAATTTTAACAAGTTCCTCTCAGCAACTTGTGAGCAATCTAATAACAAGTGTTCAGCTGGCCAGCTTCACAAATGCTCTGAATGTCAAAAATGGGCTTGTTAAGCTATTCGTCATACGGAACAGCGAATGTAGTCCTTAGCCACAGGCCTACCAACCTCAAATGAACCAGCTGCTGAGAAAACAACCACCGAAAATAAAGAAAATGTTGTGTTTGGCCGACCAGCTGTTACAAACACTGCCGGAAAACTCAAAGAACGTCACATCCTTTGGACACCTGTTGTCTCTGCTGGGGAGAAATGTCCACTACCTCTTGAAAGTTGTTGCTCAGTTTCTCTTGTCAGTCGCTCTCATGCTGATTATGTTGCTTCCAAATGTCCACACATCATCACAATGAAGAGACTGCTTCAAAAGTGCTGTTTTGGAAACCCTAACAAGCTCACATACACCGAGGTAGACCAAGAAGACAAGACAAGACATCTCGGCAAATACTGGACTGGACAATACCAAAGAAATAAGAGATGCAATGCTCAATCAGGGTGTGTGGAGAGATGTTATTAGGACAGTTCAAATGATTCCTGCCCCAAGTAAGAACTACATGTAAATAATGCAAACACTCTTATTTTGTAAGGTACAATGAATTTAAAATCTTACTCCCCAAAGGAACACATTTGCAGACAAGATCGGTTGGTGATAAAGACAAGGGGGATATCCTGAGATGTTATTGGTAAGATGCTCTTTGATCTAATTCAAATCCCTTCCAAAATGACCCAGCAAGACTCAGGAACAGAAGTGAATAACTCAATTTAGCTAATACAGGATTCAGATTCTCTGTGGTATACTACAAAACAATTTGAACATGGATACAAATACATTGAAGTGTTAGCTTTTAAACTGATACCCTGCATGCCTACAGGAGTGCCATACTGCAAAATCATTACATCTGTGTTACTGTGAAGTGCCTTCGAGAAATAAGATAAAACTTGAACACTGTAAATGAATGATCAGTGCACTTGAAGATGACATTAAAGATT